TTAGTATATAAAAAAATATCATTTGATAATATTAAAATATTATTAAATGTTTAATTTTTCAACGACATCATGGCTTAATAATACCTTTAGTTAGGTAAAAGAATAATTCCTCAAATTTTTTTTGAACAAAAATATTTTTAGTACTTGTTACTCGTAAATTTGTGTAATTTGTTAGGCAAATTTTTGTTAATTAATTGTTAAAGTTACATTTCATATTAATTTATTAAGTTTTCATTTTCATTTTGTTTTAGTTCTGATCCAGATGTTTAGTCTATTAATAAAAATTTAATTAATTATAATATAATTACCCAAGATTTATCAATAATTGACTTTTCTAAATCTAAGAGAAGCTTTTCTAGAACTATAAAAGGAATAAAAAAAACGGTCAACATGTATTGTAAAATTAGTTATTTTCAAGGAACTTAAAAAAATGGAGAGAATTTTTAGTGTATTCTGAGACTAAAAGGAGTTCTCTTTTGCACAGACATATCTTTTATTTTCTTGTAAATCTCGATTTGGTTTGACTAGATTTTCTCTCTGGAAAAAAGCAGATGACAAAATAAAATAACATTTTCATTCATCAACTCATAGGTCTAATATTTTGAAAATGAAACAACGCGAGGTGACTCTTAATCGCATTGATAGTAAACTTTCTAATCAGGTCGAGAAAGAACGATTTTTTGTATTCAAATTTTGAAGAGAGTTGTGGCAGTAGTAAAGAAGTTAGCATCAAGAGGATTAGCATTTTGAGGGAATACATCAAAAAAAGGTTTTAAAAACAATGGAAATTTTTTAATGGCTATTGAGTTATTATCTGAATTCGACCTTTTTATGGCAAAATATTTCTAACAATATGGAAATAATGTCAAAGATTTTTCATCTTATTTATCTTGTAATATATAAGAAGAGGGGTAACATTTTGGGGTAATATTTTACAAAAGTTTAATACTGTTAGTAAAAAGTTGCAGTGTGTGAAAATTGATTTAGGTATTGTGGTAGAACTGTTTAACTCATTAATTACATATGTAACCGATTTTAGATCTGACAAGGCTTATGAACACATAAAATCTCTAGCAATTGAAAAAATTAATGTAAAACATTTCAAAAATGACTAAAAACGTTTAAAAAAGAGAAAAACATTCCATGATGAAGATATTACCTATACAAAACCAGAATCTTTTGAAGTTTACACTTATTTTGCCATGTTAGAAAAAATTTAAGCTGAACTTGAAAAAGTAATGAATTACACAACCTTCTTCTTGAAAACTACACATATTTTTTGGAGTTAACAAATATTTCAGTACCTGAAGTATTTAAAAATGCTACAAAACTACAAAAAAAATTTGTTATTGATTTAGAACCTTCATTTGTAAATGAATGTTTGTATTTTAGAGAACATTTAAAAAGCCTTTCTGATGGTATACCGAAGACAATTCAAGAGATTTGTATATTTGTGAGACAGAAAATCTTACAAAGCATTTACCCTTATATAGACATAGCTTTGAGAATGTTATTATGTACATCTATAAGTAATTGTTCAACGGAGATATCATTTTCTACTCTAAAAAGAATTAAATCGTACCAAGATCTTGTTCGTCGGAGGATCGACTTAATAGTTTGGCACTCTTGTCAATGGAAGGTAATCACCTTTTAACATTCAAAATAAATAATGACGATATCATTAAAAACTTTTCAAGTATAAAAAGTATAAAAAAATTTTAATTGTTCATTAACTATTGTTGTGTTGATAAATGACTTTAATATATAATTGTAATTTTGTTAAAATTCCTAACTTTTGTACAATTATTCAATGAAAAATGACCCATTTTGTACTCTTAAAAAAAAATGTATGATTAAAAAAAACCTTTAAAAAAAATTAAGTGCTCAATGCTGCAAAACGTCTAAATACAGCCCTGGTTGTAGTAAAGTATGATTCAGTATATATCGTTAAAAAATCGTTCGTAGTTTCATCATCATAAGGTCGGTTTTCAAACAAGGCTTCGAGACACATCCAAATTTGGGAAATTATTGTCGTTTGAATATTTATAATTTTGTATCATATAATTAGTTGCAAATCCATTTAAACTAGATAATACATTATTAAAGTAATACTGTATGCCAATCTCTTCTGTTAGACCTGACTTAAGAGGATTGTCAATGAATTCCTGCGGAATTTGTTGAAATCTATTTCGTTTAGAACTAAGTTTACTAGCGTACTAAACTCATTCTTGTATAAAAACTACCAATATTACCAATTTTTGGATAAAATTGTTAAGAGATTTATATTAAGTATTCATTTATATATGTTTTACGAATTCGTGAAATAAATATTTAAAAAAATTTTATTTCAAAAAATATATTAAAGACAGGGAAAATAGCTTTTGTACTGTCGTAACTCAAAAATAATGAAGAGAAGGGGGGGGATTTAGGATTGAAATGAATGGGGAAATACGCGCATCTGACTCTTCACTAGGGCGTTTGGATCGAGGGTCTACCGTTGTAAAATAAAGCATGCAGGTTGAGTTCAAATAGTGTTACCTGAATATTTATGTTATCCTTAATGCCGAAGACAGGATTTACGTAATAATAATTTCAATACAAAACAAGTTGATGTCACTTATCAAATGATATAATTATTGTCACTTATTACACAAAATACACAAAAGTGATTCATATGATAAAAGAAATAGTATATGAAGCTTAAATAAAATATTTGTACACACTAATTTAAATATTGTCAATATTATATAAACGATACAGAGAAAAATGCGGAGTTTACTTATAAAACTGGACGTGTTCGTTCCGGAGTACGACCGAAACAGGCCGTGTCAGACGAGCCCATGGAGTCCTTTTGGTGTCCTTCCAAAGTCCCCTTCCAGACACGTACATGACCATCGGCCTTACATTTATTTAGATTCTTTGTTGCTATTTTGCTGACATTGTAGAAGGATTTTGTAAAACTACGGGGTTGTACATGTTAGGAAGGAACGGATGTGTGTGCATGGCGTGATTGTGTGAGTTGTGTGTGTATCTGCAGTCAGTGATAGAAAGTGTTGATTGTGTTTTGTAATTTATTGGTGTGTGGGTCGAAAATGAAAGTATAACAGAAAAACATTTTGTTCGGTTGTGTGAAGGGCCCATTACAACAGTACTTTTTTCGACTTTTCTATTTGTGTCTTCACGTTGACGATTGACCTTTACTTTTACTCGACTCCCCGTATTTTCTTTGAAGTACTTGTGTCTTGCACTTCATCTGCACCTCATACCTAGGCGTTACCCTTATTCCCTTCCTATAACAACAGCATTCCGACATTCATACCTAATCCGGAGTGTCAGCCGAGCACGATGACTGCTGTACAATAACACGCATATGAATACCTAGAAAGCAGGCTCATCCTCATCATCTTTTTCATACGCTTTACTTTCTGTTTGTGTTAAGACAGAAGTTTAAAATAGTTAACAACTACTTTTTCTAAAACAAATGCCATTAAAAAAACACTCATTCATTATCTAAAATTAAAATATAATACTTATTCTGTTTTAGCTTCCATGTGAAGCTGAGAAGGTATTATTATAATATTATGTGTTTTTTTTTCCTGATACCACTATTTCTCAGCTCTCACCGAACAGATTTCTTTCAACAATACGTCAAAAGATCACAAATCATATCTAGTCGAAGACGTTACCCTCAAAAATTGAAAAAATTTCCTTCGTTCCCCGTAAATGGGGAAAATTTAAAAAAAAATTACAAATTTAAAAATCGATAAATTTTGTCATTTTTTTCTTAAAACTAACGTAACTTTTTTAAAATTAACAAATCAATATAGTTTTTTTTTTGTAGATACTTGATGTCTTTACCTAACATTTGGAATATTTTTGTCATAAATTTAACCCTTTATCTGCTCACAGGAAGTATTTAAAATTACAACTTTTTCACAAAAAATTTACTTTTTCAAATTAAATTTTGAAACTGTTCCGGAAAGTCTGACACTTTTAATTATATCTTAAATTAAAGTTAATGTAATCTACTTTATTATGCGAAAAAAAAATTTCGGACTTTATTTTATCTTCACGGTGAAAATGGCTACCAAATGCTATTATTATGTGAAAATTCTCGATTTTATTTTTTACATTTTTAACTTTATAATGCTATGACATATTTAAAAGTGTATGGATCAACATTATTTTTTTATAAGAAATAATATTTTTTAATAATCCCTTTTTCATTCGACATACTTTATCTTAATTAGGATATTAATAATAAAATAGCAGATCATGTAGTTTTTGGAATAATCCAGTAATTGTTTAAAATTAAACATTATCTAAAGATTTGCACTGAAGCGTTTTTTTTTATAGTGATTTTAATCACTGTCAGATATCATTATACTTGATCCACCTATGCAAAGTCACCATTGTGCCGCGACTCCCCTGTGCTGGGTTTTTTTATGTTTTATTTGTATATGTTATAATATACTGATATTCATTCAAGGTATTTTGTAAACAAACATGAAAAATATAAAATACCAAATAAAAAACTATTGTTGAACATTTTATTTTTTAACTCATTGCTATAAATACTATTTTATATAACAGGAAATATTTTTAATAATTATTATTTTTATTTTTTACAAATTTAGAACAAAAACAATACCCTTTACATTTATTGATTATCATTATGAAAAATATTTTGATAAATTACATTCAAATGAGACATAATAATGTTACTTTCATTTAAGTGTACTTCAATAAAACTCGCTAAAAAATCGTACTTTCCTTCATGTGTATAAGAATTGTTTTCAAATAAATTTTTGAAATAATGTTGTGTATGGATATTATTTTTGTTTGCATATCTACAATGTTGTTTTATATAATTATCTGCAATTGTATTTAATATGTATAACACATTTACAAGGTAATTCTGAATGCCAACCACTTCTATTGGACCTGACTTTAGAGGATTGTCAATGAATGCTTGCAGAATTAGTTGAAACGTATTTTGTCTAGAACTAAGTCGACTAACGTACTGAACTCCTTCTTGTATAGAAACTACCAATACTACCAATTTTTGGATAAATTTGTTAAGAGAATCTATTAAACTATTATTTATATATGTTTCACATGCTTCCATTAAGAGATGTAAATAATAAATAAAATCGGTTATTCTTTCCGAATACTTACAGTAAATAATATCTGGCAAATATTCTTGAAATTTTACAAGGAAATTATGTGCATCAAGTTTCTTATCTTTATTTACATAGTCGATTGCTGATTGATATGCTTGCTGTCTTAATTTATCATAGGATATAAAATTCACGCCATCAAATTTAATACTGACTCCATTAAGTTGTAAACTTTCCACAGAGTAAACAAAATTCTGAAGAATATCATGTATTGTAATATCACATGAAACTTTCTGAGCATAATATAAAATGTTCAACACCAAATAAAGGCACCATATAGTTACAATCATCATTTTGAATTTTTTTTTACTAGAGTTATACGATGTAAACTAGAAAAATGTTCGTATTTAAGTCATTAAATAACTGCGCCTTTATTTGTATATTTAAAAATAAAATGTCTACACATTTAAACAAAAGTTTTATAATGACTAATACCATTATTGTTTGCAGTTAAATTATTAATTTATTGTCAAATAAACTTTTTCAAGTTTTTATACATAATAAATTTGAAATTAGCGAAGATTAAAATGTGCCAGCCCTATTTAATAATCAACATTTTTAAGAATAGATTTCTTTATACATATATTATACGATGTACACTAGAAAAATTTAGTCAAAAGCTGCTTAAATTTTCATATTTAAGTCATCAAATAATAATCCTATTAATTGTATATTTAAAAATAAAATGTCTACTTATTTATACAATGGTTTTATAATGACCATTATTGTTTGTACTTATATTTTGAAATAATTGTCTCAACTAATTTTTTTTGTAATTTGTATACATAGAAATATTTGAAACTAGTTCCCGAGAAAACATCATGATTTTGTCTTACAATTTATACATCAATCAATATAAGAATATTAATAAAATCGTCTTAAATTAATTTTAAAACGGTTATCCAATATGGTCGTGATATAGTATACACGACATAGATAGTACAGGTATAGATAATATCTGACAGTGATTAAAATCACTTTCATAAGAAATTCTTCTAAATTTCCAATTAAAACATTTTCATTATCACTAATTTTTGATAAAATTAATAAATAGTTATTAACGAGTATTCTCATATAATAAAAATAAGCAAAAAAAGTACAGGTTGAAATTAAATTCAAAAACACAACAGAGGACGAAATCAGAGGTAAAACTAGTCTCGGAATATTTTTAAATATCAGAATATTATAGTATATAACTATACGAAATACAATTATGAATATTTCAATTGTAGCATCTATTTAAACATCAAGAATTAATTGAAATAATTAGTATTTCTATTGAAATTAATTATTACGATATAAATACATAAAATATAATTGATTATAATTAATATAAGTGATATTAACAAAATGTTAAGTTTATTTAATAAATTTATTGCTAAATGTCATTATATTAGTTTCTGACCATATAGGAATCTAAACAAAATCATTTTTTTAAATCTTCATTAGATTTTCTATTTAATGATATTAATTTAAAACTGACAAGTTTCACTAAAAAAAGACTAAAAGTGTAACATTTTTAAATTAGAAATTTTCATAAATGTCAACTTTAAAAAAATAGTTTAAACATGACATTTTGAATCGAAATTTTGCACGAATTATTTTTAACATATTAAATATCAATATAAATTTTTAAGTGTAAATACTCGTTTTTAAAAATGAGTTAAAGTCTCAAAAAAGTAGCGATAGAAAAAATCTAATTGCAGATTTTAGATTATATGATTTTCCTGTGTGATTCTGTGTAAAAACGAATTTTATACTCTTATTATTTGTGGAGATATTTTCTTAGTTTCGCCTAGAAACTAAAAAAAAAAACAATAAGAAAGTTGTTGAAAAAAAAGTTTATAAATGTTTTTGCAAAGAAGCTAAGTGTGCAGTTGTAACGTCACAAATTCGAAAGTGGATCGTTTATGATTTTTTGTTATGTCTACTTATTTATTTTATCGCATGAAAGAACCTTTTTCTGACACAGCGGTGTCAACCACTCATTATTTTGCCGCTGACCGCTTGATAAGGCGATATAAGAGAAATATAATTAAAATCGAATTGTTTATTAGTATTGATCCCTTCCAAAAAGACTGGCCGTTATCGATTTGAAATTGCCGCTAGATCGGTGTTGACTCTTATCTATTCTTTCTTCTGTCATTGACCGTGCTAGGGTGCACACATTTGTTGTTTTATTGACACTCTTTTTTCAATGATGGAGTAGAGCCGCCAACGGCGAACGGCCAGGTCTTTTCGGCGAAGCATCCAGACCATCGGATGGGTCTCTTCGGAAACCGGGTATCGTTTTCTTTTGTATATTATATTTGTGTAATGAGCGATATTATATTAATTATTTTATTTCATTTTATTTTATCGTAAATTAACTTAATTTTGTTTATGTGTGGAGAACACGTGTTTCTCTTTTCTTCTAGTCAACGCTAAGGAGCGAGTGTCCAGACCGCTTCTGATGTTCTTCATTAATTTCCGATAAACATTAACGGATTTGTTCCAATACCGTTCGTGATGTTTGTAATATTATTTGTTTGTTTTGTTTAAATATTTTATTTTATTTGTATTGCCTTTATTTGTAAACATTGTTTTTGATGCATTCGAATTTTTGTCCATGTTTAACTTAATTTTCTTTTTTTTTAACAATTAAATTAAATTTCCTTATTAATTTCAACTGTAATATTTATTTTATTGCGCGAGTAACTTAATTACTCGCGTGTATTTATCCCTATTCCTTAATCTAGACACGGGCTACGATATGTTTTACATATCAACCACAAACAACTTTAATTGACATAATTGTGTTTAATAAACCATGAGGTATTATAGTAATTTATACATATAACGACATATTAACTTAGATTATACTTTTAATTTACTTAAAATTAAATTCCACCTATGGTTCGGTAATCATATCTGATAGGTGTGACACCTCGCCTAGGTGGTGGCGACCCTTGCTACTATAGCTAGTCGTTATGCAAGTGGCAAACCACGTTGTTGTTACAGGCCGAATTATTAATAAAAAGCCCACTTGCACAGTTAGTAAGGTAAAGTTTAAGATATATGATGAGTTTTATGATAGGCTAGGAACAAAGGAAAGCGAGAAAGAAATCTATAGACTACCAAAAGTAATGGAGAAAAGGTCTAAAGATTATCATTATATAAGATGTATAAAAAGTGTTGATAATAAGGTACTCTCGAGTGATGATGATGTGAAGAAAGATGGAAAGAGTATTTTGAAAAATTACTGAATGACGAGAACTCAAAAGAGACATCAGAGGATATCTCGTGGAACGAGGGACTGGTAGATTTAATTAGTGAGAAAGAGGTATGGGAGGCTGTGGCATTAATGAAAAAGAATAAAGCAGTAAGACCAGATGAAGTGCCAGTAGAAGTATCTAAAATATTAGGCGGCGTTGAAATAAGGTGGTTGAAGGAACTTTTAAATAAAATCTTATTAGAAGGGAAAATTCCAAATGAATAGAGGAATAGTATTATGGTGTCAATATTTAAAGGTAAATGTGACATACAGGAGTATGGAAATTATAGACGCTTAAAGCTTATGAGTCATAGTATGAAAATATGGTGAAAAGTAATAGGTAAGAGAATAAGAATTCAGACATCGGTATCCAAAAAACAGTTCGAATTTATGCCTGGTAAGTCAACAATGGAGCCAGTATTTTGTGTGAGGAAACTAATAGAAAAGTTTAAGAAAAAGAAAAAAAAACTGTGTAAGGTATTTATATATTTGGAAAAAACGTATGATGTAGTACCGAGAAAGGTTTTAAAGTGGATATTAATGAGAAAAGGACTCCCGAAAAGGTACATTAATATGACAGAGGATATGTATAATGGCCCTTGTACCTGGTTAAAACGCGTAGGAGGAGTAACAGAATAGTTCCGGGTAAGAGTAGGAGTACACCAAGGTTCTGCTTTAAGCCCTTACTTATTATCTATAGTGATGGATGAAGTTACTAGAAGAATACAAGGAAAGGTGCCATGGTGCATGTTGTTTGCTGTCGATATAGTGTTAATAGGAAAAAATAGGGAGGAAATCAATCAAAGGCTAAAGGTGTAGAGATCAGCTCTTGAAGAAAAGGATTTAAGAATAAGTATAAATAAGACAGAATATATAGAGTACGAGTTTGTCATAGAAGAAGGTAAAATGAGGAGATCAGTGACAATAGACGAGGACATAATTCGAGAGGTGGGGAGTTTTAAGTATTTAGAGTCAGTTGTGCAAAAGAGTGGTAATCGTTTTTCTTTTTTATGTCAGAGGTATTTAATAAATCAATAATTTATGTTACTCACGCGTACAAAGAAAAAGTTTACGACGAAATTATTATTTAGATTTTAGAAATTTAATTTAAAAATGATTATTTTACCGATAATTTTTATGTTATTGACGTAAAAGTAACAGATATGTTTGTTTTATTGGTATACCAATAAAATATGCTTTATTATGATAAATCATTATTTATATATTTAGTAAATATAGTAACATGTTTTTAACGTGTACAAAGAGTTTAAAAATATACTCTATTAAAAAAAAACTTCGATCTTCTTTAATTAATCATTCTATAAACTCCATAGAATAATTTTGAAGCTTATTTGAGTTTTTGAACTTGCCAGAAATATAGACCCTTTTGCGTAATAAGTTCCGAAGAAAAATATGGTGGATGAAAAGATGATACTCGTTATTTTGATCAACATAAGCTTTTTATTTTATATTAATTTTATATTGAAATTAGAAAATGAAAGTTGATCGGCATTTTTGTTATGTTTAACAATATCATTGACATCTATCAGCTTTGATCAGGATGTAGTGATATCTTTGTTTAAGTAAAAATTCCATCTGTACATAAATCATTGATATGTGAAATACAATACAAATTGATTATTTAAAGGAATATGTATTAACAGAATATTGCTTTTTCAAACTGTTAACGTATGGGTGGTTTTGACTTAAACGGTCTCTTTATGTCCGGGGTACTGTTTCCTTTTATTTGAAATAAATAATGAATAAATAAAATAGCATGATGATACATTATGAATCATAATTCATGATGTATGAATTTTAATTTCAAGGTAATTCGTTCTATCCTTTTCGGCATTGTAAGAATAATTTAAAATTTCACATTTTATATTTTTATAAAATTTAATTTTATATTTTATATTTTTTTGAAATAACATAATGGGCATACCATTTACAGTACAAATGAAAAGTCTTGGTAACCGAATATAATATTACTTTGTACGGATAAAACATATTTTGGACAACGTCATTGGCCGCAAAGGTAGGTGGTATGTATGCGTGCCTTTTGAAAGGCTTTC